TTGATCACTTAACAATGTGCTGTGAGAATTTTTCGCACGGGCCTACTGGTTGTTTCAATATTTATATTTCAAGGATGTTTATTAGAAACCGCCCGACGTTTTCGACTACTGCAGCACTTACTAGACAAACGATCTAAGCTTTCAATCAATTATAAACGACTCGTATATATGACAATAATAAGACCTATTTGGACTTACGGAATTGAGCTTTGGGGCTCCACTAAACCATCGAATTCCTCTCGTATCCAATCCTTACAATCCAAAATCCTTCGTAAAATCCTCAACGCTCCTTACTTTGTCACAAATAAAATCATCCATAAAGACCTTAATGTTCCATATGTTTCCGATCTGGCCCAATCCAGATACCTTTCCTTCCATATCAAACTGCAGAATCATCCGAATCCTCTCGTTTCAAACCTTGCTTCCTCCTCGATCCCTGATAACCCTCCGAGGCGTCTGAAAAGAAGATGGCCTCGGGATCTTCTAATATAGAACTTTAATTTGAGTTCTACCAATGGGTAGTTTCTCTTCATGTTGTACATGCCATGTTACAAATTTCTCATTTACTTATTGTATTCTCTATTTAAACAGTTGTAAATTCCATTGAAATAATAATAAAAAAAAAAAAAAAAAAGGATGTTTATAATATAGATGAAAATATCGACTATCGATATTACCAGTCCGATATTTCGTTGGTATCGATAGTTATAGACCGATATGTAGGAATGTATATATTCTTTATGGAGACTTGATATCTAATATTACAGTTTTAGAAAACAAGTTGTGGATTTTATCCTTGAAAAAATATTTCAATATTAGTGACAATATGGATATTGGACCTTCTATATCCAATCCCTACAAAGGACGCTAACTCCACCATTTCAGCATCATCATGAATATATATCCAAATATTTTAATTTATGGCTTTTCTATAAGCCATTGCCTGCTGTTGGCGAACCCATTGACTGGCCATGGACAGATGGATATGAATTGGACTGGTGCCCCTCAATAGCTACAGATATAGCCACAATAAGGAGGCCTATAATAAAAAAAAAAGAAAAAAAAAGAGGCCATTTAATTAATGAGGGGACGGCTTGCCAAGCGGCTATAGAGCAGATCCATTGAGTAGATTGGCTACGTTATATATAGTTCCATCTCTCGCTCTCCTCTCGTCCTCTCTCACAAATAACCAGCAATGATCCATGATCCATGATCCCGCGGCCTCTATGATAAACATATCTCTAGGCCTTCTTGATCTGTAGCTGTCATTTGTCTTACGGTTTCCTCGGAGAGCGGTTTATTCAGTGACATATTTTTTAATATTCCTTTTAAGGTATTTATAGAATGCCTGAGAAGGGAATTTGAAAACTTAGTCGTTGGTATTACTCTTTTAAGAATTTATTCTCTTATTCTGAACGGATTTGATCCAAATATTATGATTTTATCTTAGGATCAGAGCAGTAAATATTGAATGATTATTTTTTTTTTTAATACTTAAGAAGAATATTTTGCCTAAAATATTTTTTTTTTTTTTTTAAATGTGACTTGTATTGGAGGGTGGAGAGGAGAGGTGAATGAAAGGAGAGGATGGCCATGTTTTATTCTAGCGGAAGTTAACCGTTTGAGATGCTTTGTCTCTTTTTTTGTTTGAATTCTCGGTTCTGAATTTGATTTATGAAAATTGGCCTAAAATTCCTTTAAATATTTTATACGATTATCCTGGACTCCCTGGGAATCATTCACTATCACTTTTGTAGTAATTTACCATGAATTGAGGATGTATTGTATCATTTATTTATTTATTTATTATATTTCAAAATTTTAGCATTGTCTTATATTTTTGTCTATAGTTGTGGATATATGTGTGTGCAATTTAGTGTTGTATTCTTAGCTTTCAGATTTTTTTTTTTTTTTTTAATGAAATAAAATGAAATGAAAAATAATTTTTTTTTGGGGCGTAAGTCCGCTTAGAATAATAGTAGAGTTTTAAAATTAGTCTGGCATGTAAGTATTATACAAATATATACAAAAAATACCTAGGAAATTGTAAGCATATATATATATATATATATATATATATATATATATATATATATATATATATATATATATATATACACTCAAAGATACTAAGGAAAATTCAAATATATAAAAAAAAATACCAAGAAAAATATAAATATCTACAAAACATACTAACGATAAACACAGATATATTCAATAAAATACTGTGATACAACAAAAATTAGAAAATAAAAATAAAATGGCTTCTATCAATTAACTGCTGGTGACCAACGTAATTATATAACCCAGAAATTTGTACAAGCTTGTGGAAGTTGGTAGTAGTATTTGTATAGAATTTGTAGTAGGTGGTGTAATAGGAGTTGTTTGAAGGAGTTTATGGACGTGGTTTGACGTATAGAGATGGCTAAGGAGTTCCATAAGGAGGTAGCACGAATGAGGAAGGATTTACTGAAGGATTAAATGTGTATGTTATGCAATGATGATGGCTCAGTGTAGTTATGCAATGTATTAGACCTGGTGTAGTTATTAGTATATATTTTATAAGACTTGTATTATAATGAGAGAGAAAAAGGAGGATATATATATATATATATATATATATATATATATATATATATGGTAGTATAATAATGTGTAAATTATGTCCAAATGGATTGATCGGTATGCTGTGTGTAAAGCAACCCTATGTAGTAGGGCAGCACTACTTTCAATAAAGTATTTCTCTCTAGAAATGGCCGTATTTAAAAGATGCTTTCTATTACCGTTTTCGAAATAAACAGTATAAATTCTAGAAATTAAATTAATCCTGTTTTTAACTTAGGAATACCACCGACTTGTATTTAATTAATTTTTTATTTACTTCTATATAGGCCAGCTAAGGACCACAAGTTTATTATTACTTGGTTTTCCTTTTTACTCACATCTTCCTTATCTGTTTATCATTCTCCTTTCTTCGCTTCTCTGCCCACCTCCTTCATCTTCTTTCCTTTTTTCCTCCACTACAAGAACTTTCTTTTCGTATACTATCTTTCTAACTCCTTCCGGTATGTTATAAAATATTCACTTTAATCTTAACTATTCGAATCACTGGATACGGCAAGGAAATTATCAATATGGAAGGTAATTTATTTGAACAGGTAGAGAAGTTTAGGTATCTAGGGTATACGATAACTAGAAAAAACGAAATTGGGAAAGATATTAAGGGTGGGCGGAATGCGAGAACTGCTTGTTATATTTCTTTGACAAAACTAGTTAGCTCGCGCATCTTGTCCCGGAATTTAAAGATTAGAATCTATAAAACCTTACCTACGGTACTTTATGGATGCGAAACATGGTGGCTTACATTAAGGGATAAGCAAAGTCTTAAGGTTTTTGAAAGTAAAGTATTGCGTAGAATATTCAGATCGAAGAAGGATGAGTTAACCGGAGAGTTCAGACGGTTATATAACGCCAAATTGCGTGAACTGTATCCGGTTAATATAATTGAGGTGATTACATCGCGGAGAATTAAATGGGCTTGTAAAATTGTTGGGCTTAGTAAGAATTCCTAAAAGGTTGATATTTTCTATATCGAATGGTTAACGTCCGAGATGTAGACCGAAGCGAAGGTGGGAAGATGGCGTTTCAAGCGACTGCGTTTGGACGGCGAACGGTGGAGGGAGGTGTGTGATAAGCGATTGGTGGTGTCAGCATCGAACCTTCGGGTTCGCTAAGCCTTTTATTATTATTATCTTTCTAAACTTCTTCCTGGCTTGATTGTCCTCTTCTCTGATCTCTGATCACTTTGTTTCTTCTTTAATCTGCATGGGGTTTCATTAGATCTTCTTAAGTTTTACCACTTTCTCAAAGAACTACTTGTTCAACCTATTCTTTCCCTTTCCCTTCATATGATCCTGAAACTTCAACCTTCCTTTCCTCATTTATATCTGTAGGTCTTCAGCGTCTCCGTAAAGCTTCCAATTTTCCTTTTTGTTGAGTACTGTTCCCTCATTTTCCTTGGCCTATGGATGATATATCTTAATATTTTAATTATATATATGTCCTTGAGACAGATTATAATATTTTTCAATAAATAAGCTTATAAAAAAAAAAAATTATATATATACATATATCTTATCAATATATTAAAATTTAAAACTTCATTAAATAAATTCAAATTTGAGCAAATCAGGAACAATGACATGAGCAGACTTGTCAAGTTACTACCAAATGGTAGCGTAGCACTGCCTAAATAGTTCGAAGTAAGAAGATCCTGTTGTCATCTTCTTTTCAGACGCTTATCAGGAAGATGAAACAAGGCGTAACACGTAGGTTTAGATGAAACTGGATTTTAAATCATGAAAAGACAAACGCTCTAAGCTCCCAGTTAATCACAAAAGACTCATATACATGACTATAATAAGGCCTATTTGGACTTGCGGAGTTGAGCTATGGGGCTCCACTAAACCATCGAATTCCTCTCGTATCCAATCCTTACAATCCAAAATCCTTTGTAAAATCCTCAATGCTCCCTACTTTGTAACAAATAAAATCATGCATAACGACCTTAATGTTCTTTATGTTTCCTATTCGGCCCAATCCAGATACCTATCCCTCCATAACAAACTTCAGAATCATCCAAACCCTCTCGTTTCTAACCTTGCTTCCTCCTCGATCCCTGAGGCATCTAAAAAGATGATGGCCTCGAGATCTCCTTTTGTAAATACATTTTTAGAGTGCTACCATTGGGTAGTTTCTCAACAAGTGGTTTCATGTTACTATATTATTTTGTTCACATTTACTGAATGTAGTTTTACTTGTAATACATTTGTAAATATCATCAATAAAAAATATATATATATATATATATATATATATATATATATATATATATATATATATATATATATACATCTATATGAAAGGATAGTCTGGGGCCAAATCAGGGCCATTATAATCAATGTATTAGATCAGTAATATCAATATGATATTTATTATCACTATACAATATATTGTGTTGGCATTGAGACTGACCGGGTGTTGGTTGCAGATGGCGGCCCGGCCGATAGGAGTTGGGAAGGGTCCAGCTTAGACCGGCTGAGCCTCATCGTGGAGAGCATCGCCAGGCCATCGGCGTGATCTGCCAGCTGCCATCTGGAGGACATCTTCCTCTTCGCCGGGAGGACCAGAGGAGGAGGGTCAACATTGGTAATATGTAGGGAGTCATCTATAAGAAATACTGTCATGGCTTTAAATATTGTCGTTCAAAGCTAAGTTAATGAAGAATTGATATCTTAAAAAAACAAGTAGTTAAAAAAAATAATATAGATTATCATTTGGGATGAGTAGAAAAAGTAAGTGTGCGAAGTATCTCAGAAAGTTTAAGTCCGTGTATACAGACCACTTTTTATCGAGTTAATAACGTTCGCCTAAACATTCGTAAATAGTTTCATCTCATCATAAACTACAAATATTTTGTTTACGAAAACTCTTGGAATTGGAACGTTTTCAATCCGGTAGAGGGCAAACTTTATCTATTGAATTAGGTACTAAAAACTCGTTGATACCAATTTTGGTTTATTATTTCCAATAATCAACCATTGTGATCGACCAAAAAATTCAAAAACTTAACCCCCTCTCAAAATTTGAGGTTTCACGTTTCAGGATGCGTAGAATTCGAAAAACGAATACAATTTTTTTTGTCCGTCCGCCGTCCGCGCATTTTCTCCGACACTACTGGACCGATTATTTTCAAATTTTGATATAAAATCAGAGGTCACCCGAGGATGATCCTCCTTCATCGACGTTACTATCTGCCTTTTACTTTCAAAATGGCGGCAGAAAAACCTGCGTTGCTATAGACTGTAGCTCCGAAACGAATGTACAGGTTTTAATAAAACTAAGCTAAAGCCATTTTCTCGACGCCCTTTAAATTTATCTATATAACATACTTCAACGAAAAAAAGTTACGAGGGATGGTAAAATTAAATTCCGAATAACTCCAAAAGTTTATACTTTTTTGTTGATATTGTATATGTTTTTTTAAAAGTTATTGGAATTTCCTAAAAAAATCGTTACGATCGGACAACTAGGAGGAAAGATATGGTCTCCGGTTTTTTTTATATGTTCTACTCCAAATATTATATCCTTGGTTTGGTTTTTAAATTTTGAATGTGTTACTGAAGTAATGCTATTTTTGTTTAGCATATTACTAATGATTAAAAAAAAAAGTTTAGTCCAATAATTGGAATCACCTTTTATTTATTTTTCTTTGTAACTCGGAGCGTAATGTTACTTTAGATGTATAATTGTTTGGAAATAATAAACCATTGTGAAATAATTTGCAGCGTTTTTTTCTACTTTCGTTGTAAGATAATTTGATCACAAAATCGAGAAAAAAAGGGCCTTCAAAAATATTGACCCGTTTGGCGTTACCTACACCTCCAAATTTCCAAAATAACGAGGTTATATAGGACAAACGGCCCAATATTTTTGTAGGTCACTTTTTTTATCGATTTTATGATCAAATTATCTTACGATCAAAATAGAAAGAAAATGGGTATTTATGAGTTTTTAGTAGCTAATTAAATAGACAGAGTTAGCTCCTCTCAGGATTGAAAACGCCCCAATTCCAAGAGCTATCGTAAATAAAATAGTTTTAGGTCACGATGAGACGAAACTATTAACCCTTTACGAGTCCGGCTGATGTCATGTGCCCTCTTGGGGCAGACTCAGCCTCTACAAAGTAGCTTGATTAATAAATAATTAATTAAGGGGTGTGATTCTGTCCTGATCACCTCCATGCACAAAAGTTGGCCACGAGACAGTATTTCTTAACGAAATCCTGAACCCAAAACCCCCATTCATGCATTGTATTGGTACAGGTATAAAAAGTAAAAATTGTCAAGAAACTTAACGTTGGTCTTTAATAATCAATACTAATTGAGATGCATCTTTTACTCTCATTAATAAAGATTTTACTATTCCTTATAACAATTATTAAGTTAAATGGTATTAAAAGTTTTAATTTCATATACAATTTTGTTATTAGCCTTAAATATAAATATACTCTAGTTTAGCTATCGAAAATTGATAGAACTATAGAGTATAATTGTGCCTGCGTCCATTAAAAATAAATTGTAAATACAGTTTTACTGCATTAGATAGCTTTGTTCAAATATTAAGTAATTTTCGATATATTTTTTCTCTACGTCTCTCCTTACATTATGTCACGTTGCATCATGTCACAAGACGGTTGGTTGTCTTTTATTGTCACGTCACGCCATTTAATTTCCTGCATTGATAGCTTGACCAAATTTAAAAAAAAAATCAGTCACACAGACCAAAATCACTTTCCTGCTTGATATGTGAATTAATAATGACCCTTTACAGCTAGATACTCTGGCATCTCACACTGAGTTTTGTACAGTCAAAATTTTCAAGTGTTGAGAAATATTTATATTTTATATGGACAAATTTAATAATAATTAAAATTATACTAAACTTAACTTAAATTTGTTTACATTAAAAACTGTAATAGAAAAAAAAGTATAAAAACTATTATAATGTAAAAGTATGATCATACATATTACCAATGCGACTCAATGAGGTTGTTATTTATTTTAGGCTTATATGATTGTAAATTGTAAATAGTTTAGGTTTTATGAAGAAATGTGTTTGCTCAATATGTGTTGTATGGACTTGTTAGACTGAAATTTTTATTTTATAATTATTCATTTTTTTTTTTTTTTAGATTCATTGGAACTAAAAAAAAAAAATAAATAAAAAATGAAGACTGAAAACGTTATTTGAGCGTAAATATTGGTTTCGTCAAAGGAATAGGCAAGTTCCTAACCTCATCACTGAGTTTAGAAACTTGTCCATATTTGTTTCAATGCTAATAGAATTATTTATTCTATTGATACCTTCATAATTGTAATTTCAACAAGTCAATATTATTCTAAAATTTTACACATTTTAGATGTTTTTTTTTTTTTATTTTGAGCTGAATATTAATCTTTTTATAAAATAAAATAATTTTCGAATCTTTACCCTTTTCAGTCTTCAATCATAGAATTTTGTCTGTTGAGCATCACGAGTTATGTGATTTTTATTTATTATTACTTTTTATTTATGTTATCGTTTTTGTGATTTATTCAATTCGCTTTTGAGTTTATTCACATGGCTTTGATTATCAAACTTTAAGTTTACGACTACAACTATTTTAAACTGGATATAAACATGGCTTTTTTATTTATTGTTCTTTAATAAGTATAAAGTGTCAAAAAAAACAACAAAAAAACAATACACACAGCTGTTTGGATTTTTGTTTCAAAAGATGATATAATATATTTTTAGATTTATGTATATACAAAATGGCGTACTTGGACAATTTGGAGTACGAGACGGATTTCATTACAAGTCAATCTACAAAAACATAACCAACAATGTTTTTATCTGATTAAAAAAATTAATTATTTTCACAATAAAGTCAGCATTCAAAAAATAATAAAAAATTATTTATTACGTAAAAACAGGTTCAGATTTTTTTTTGGAGGAGGGGAGGGGGATAAAAATATCCTTGAATAAGAAAATGTTGCAATGTTTTAGTAGAATTAACTTTTACTTACAGCTAAAAGAGTTAGAAAAGGCATTTAAAATAAAAACAGCTAAAAATAAATTTGTTTATAAAGAGTTAATAATTTATTACGAAAGAAAAAATAAATAAATAAAGCAAAGCAGTCAACAAAGACAATATTATATGATAATTTTTATCATAAACTTTTAAATTATATAACTCATAAATTTAAAATATAAAGTAAATAGCTTTATTTATTATTGATATCAAATTCTGTACTTAATCTCTTGGTATTATACAATTTATTTTATCTGTATTTGAAAAATATTAATACTTTCTACTGATTAATTTTCCAAAAAATATAGTTTTTATAGTTTCCTATTATTAAAATATTAAATATAAATTAAAATATAAAGTAAAGTAAATAGCTTTATTTATTATTGATATCAAAAAACTTAATTTATTAATATCATACAATTTATTTTATCAGTATTTGAAAAATATTAATATTTTCTACAGATTAATTTTCCAACAAATATAGTTACTCATTGATTAGCAAATAGAATCAGTAAACCTGTTAACATTTATATTACGCCATATTTGCTGGGTTGAGAAATTGTTCTTTGAATCGAAATAAAGTGGCATTAAATTCATTGCAAAACTATTTGATGATAAAAGGTAAATTTCCTATTATTAAAATATTAAATATAAAGTAAAGTAAATAGCTTTATTTAATATTGATATCAAATTCTGTTCTCAATCTATTGTTTTCATACACTTTATTTTATTATTATTTGAAAAATATTAATACTTTCTACAGATTAATTTTCCAACAAATATAGTAACTCATTGATTAGCAAATAGAATCAGTAAACCTTTTAACATTTATATTATGCGATATATTCTGGGTTGAGAAATCGTCCTTTGAATCAAAATAAAATGGCATTAAATTCATGTCAAAACTATTTGATAATAAAATTTTCTATTATTAAAATTTTAGTTTATATTGAAAGATGATTATTATCTAATACTTATTAATAGCAATATGTCATAGGATTTTATTCATATGCACCCTTTGATTTTCACGTGAAGATTTTTTCATATTTTCCACTGCAAATTTCGATAATTGAGAGTTTATCTCACTGCCTCCTCAAAACTTTAAATAAAAATAAGAATATGTAACATATTCAAATGTTTTGTTAACTTATTTTCAAATATATCCGTAAGTAAAGAAAAAAAAAATTAAAATATTCATTTATATATAAGATATTATACTGTTCATTTTACAATAATTATGTAGAGTTATGCTAATTATCACTCTTAATTTTTAAACATTATATAAAGTCCTTTTTTGTGGGGGGGAGGTGTCCATCGATTCACCCCTCCCCCCAAACAACATGATTAGTTTTCGCCTATAATGATAAGGAATAATCAATTACAACTTATTTACACTTATACTTTGTTCGATTACAATGACCAACAATATAGTTTTAGTGATAGTAAACTCGATTGACTACGTTGCAATCTTTAATCGATTAATTAAATATAGATATTCCAACGAGATATCGACACCGATCATGCACTGCTGTCTATATATAAACAGAACAACTACTGTAGACACAGTAGTTCTATATTAGGAGACAAATCCATCCACTATATAGGCTAATCTTTATTTATAATCTCGAATTCGCGATATATTTTTTTGAATATCTTTTTTAAATTAAAAAAACATATATATTAAAAAATGAATAAAGATTTAATTATTAGTAATCTGTTATTTTTTAGTTATTAATTCTAATTATCTACTGTTAACATATTTGAAATTGATAAAAGTTCAACATGACATCTCATGTTAAAATATTGTTTACATTATTTAAATAATTCTGTCTCATCGTAAAGCTTTAATATAAAACAAATAGGCTATTAAAAGGTAAAAAACAACATTTTAATGAAAAATTTGTAAATAAATATAACAAAATTACATACCTGATTTAAAGCTGTATTTTCGTATATGTTACAGGGTAAATAATTAAAAATTTGAAAACTAAAATAATTATTTATGTTAGATTAAGATTTTTTTTTTTAAGTTTCGGTATACTTTATATCAGAAAATCATAAATTAAGTTAATACAAAAATGAGTAAATATACTCTTCGACCTGCAAAAACAAATCTAAACATATACATAGACATAATACAAAGAAAAATATAAAACGAAATTATACTTTTCAAAATTGAAAAAAAAAAAAAAAAAAGAAGACTGATGAAACTCTAAAATGTGAATATATATTGGATAAAACAGTAATACATATTATTTATTTTTTATTTTAATAATCTACAAGCAACTGAAATCTAAGGGTACTATTATATCATAATATGTAACATTTTTGAAACAGAAGCCCACAAAAAATAATTAATTTGAGTTTTTGGTACATTTTCAACGACCAATTGATTAGTGATTGTCAGAGTATGTTTTATATTTATTGTTAATTATCTATATTGTTTAAATGTATCATTATTTAATGAGTGTGTTGATGATTTTGAAGGCTGTAAATATATATATTTATTTTAATTGCATTTGCTTATTTGAACCTTATACTAATTCCGGACATTATTGAATAAAAATAGGTTATATCCAAGATCACCTATATACAGAATGTCTCGTAAGTATAATTGACAGGAGTTTTTGTTCTAATCATTTCTTCTGGTTATGGAGAACGTAACTTGGGTCCTGAGTTCTCTGCTGACATTTAGTGAAATATGAACAATAAGTTAGCATTATTCAAAAGAACGACAACACAACGGATTGGTGGTAAATGGCTTGTTATTTAAAATACACATTACATCTACAATGGCTGCTAGGTTAAGTCAGTTTGAAATTAAGAAGATAAAAAAACTTTTAAGACTTTTTCACACCACTGCATATAGACACAGGTTTATACATGTAAATATATACAATCAAAAAAATAATTGATATAAATAAAATAATTATGAGGAATAACAGAAGAAAAAGCTATAATACATTAATAATAATAATAATAATTCTTTCTATTTATTTATTGAATATTACAACAATCTGTCACTTAGACATTAGTTATAGTGAGGTATAGTTATGTATCTTAACCCACTATTGATAGGTACAAAGATACATGATGGCTTTGATGAACTACAGGTTTTACGGCTTAACTTCATAACAACCTGCCAACAAAAGAGGATAACACATTTTTTTTTTTTAATTGATGTTATATAAAATATTTAATACTCATAAATTAATGAATCTGTACCACTTTATAATTTCACTAACTAAGCTATAAATATATTGTAATTTGTATTTTTAAGATAAATCGTATCTGTTAATTCTTCTTTCTGAGATTTTAACATTTAAATTAAAATTGTCCCTTAAACTGCCCATCTTATAATTGTAAATATATCTTTTGATTAGTGTTACCCAAAATCGGTCTTGGCCTTACATTTTGCAAGACCAAGTCCAGGAATGGTAAAAAAAAAATTGATTTTTTCAATAAAAATTAAGAAAAAGTAGTTACTAATACTTGACAATCTTAGTTACTATATGTTTTTTATCTTAGTTACTATATGTTTGCATTTAACTCCTCTAATTTTTCTTCGGGCTTAGTTAGGTTTCTCCTATGTAAACGATTACAGTAATATCTCTATGGTAATAAGCTAATAAGTAACTGCAAGACTGTTACACAAGACCAAGACTGAGTTTGCAAGATCAAGACTCGTCTCGGTCTCCAGTTTGGGCAACAACACTACTTTTAAGTTTGTTGGTTTTTCTTCAAATTTTAAATATACGTGATAATTTTTCTTCTTTTAGTCTTTAATTTTAATGTTTGTTTTTTTTCAAATTTTCTTCTTGTATTGTTTAATATTTAAATTGTACTTTTAACTTTTCTTTTTTTTTTAATATTAAGTTTTAGTTTTTAAAACGTATTTTTAGATTTTATTCATGAAATCATTAACCATTATTTAGTTGTCTTTGTTACCTAATCATTTTTTTATTCTTTAATTTTTATTGAATATTTGATAGTTGGCCGTTGTATTATAAAGTAAGGAGATGGTCCAGGGTGGCGGTGATAAATAGGTTAAATATTGGCAAAACCATTTTATTAAAAGTCAACGTTTCGACCCGACTTCAGGGCTTCTTCAGGACTAGAACGGACAAGATACAAACAGATAAAGAATTGTGGAAGTTACATAATATTTAGACAAAAAATTATATACAATGTAAATAAACCTATTAAAATTATGAACCGTAAGTAAATTAAAATATAAACAGAGTAAGCTAAGTAACAAGATCCTAAACTGAAGTAAACAGATGGTAACAATTGTTGTAGTGTAATATATAATAAATGCAAATGTGAATATACTTCTACAGATCTACAGGAGAGATTGAAAGAAAAGGAAAAAGGATATTATATGAAATAATAGATATAAAGGAATGTGGAGAAAGAAAATAAAAAATAAAACCAAAACAATTTAATAAATAAGTAAATAAAATTAGAGACTTACAGGTATGTTCAGCTAGGATTTTCACTTAGAATTGGAAAATCAGGGTAAGAGAGCAGGAATTGGGGAATTTGCTTTAGTTTAGAATCTTGTTACTTAGATTACACTGTTTATATTTTAATTTACTTACTGTTTATAATTTTAATAAGTTTATGCACATTGTTTATAATTTTTGTCTAAATATTATGCAACTTCCACAATTCTCTATCTGTTTTTATCTTGTCCGTTTTAGCCCTGAAGAAGACCTGCAAAGTCGGGTCGAAACGTTGGCTTTTAATAAAATAGTTTTGTCAATATTTAGTCTATTTATGACCGCAACCCCGGACCATCTCCTTTCTTTAATTTTTAATTTTAATGGTTTTTGTCAACTCTTCTTCTTATAATTTTTAATATTTAAACTGTACTCCTTAACTTTTCTTCTTTTAATATTATTTTTTAGTTTTTAAAATGTATTTTTAGCTTTTGTTCTTAATCTTAAAATCATTAACCTATATTTTAATCGCCTTTATTAACTTATTTTCTTTTAATCTTTAACTTCCAATTTTTATAACTTTATTTCAACTGTACCATCGTATTCAACTCTAATTATTTTAAACTTTTTAAACATTAAATTGTATTTGTTAACTGTAGGTTTGTTATGTAAACCTACGAAGTAGTTGTTCTAATCGTAAAATAGGGTGAAAATGACCCAGGTGGTTGAAGATCACCCAAACATTTTTAAATAAAAATAAATAAAATATTTATTCAGTTTACTTTTAAAAGTTCATCGGGTTATTGATTGAATAACAGGAGATGTGGCCCGGCAACGAGAAGTCAGTGGCATCTTCTTAGGGTCGGCAATAATTCAATCTTGACCCACGTGACCGCGGTGACCAGAAGGCGGGCAAACAGCTGTTTCCGGCCCCCGGAGTAATGGAGATTCCCTGTTTCCTGCACCGCCTCCCAAATATCTCATGGCGGGAACATGAGAAGGAGCTTAGAGCAGCTTCCGTTACCGAGATCTGTCACCAATATGCCGCCGACCTAAAATATACCCGTCTAGATTTTTCAAGACAGACAGCGAGGTGTGGACTGGTAGTCTCTTCGAATGGACAGGAGTACCTTATCGTGTTAAGGCCCTTTCCTCGAACAAAGCTTTCTCCCAAAAATTGAAGTAAAGTATTCCAGTTTTCAACCAATAGGGGAGCTTTCCACAGACCAATATTACAGTGCTAGTGTTGCCCAAATTCGGTCTTGGTCTTGCACTTTGCAAGACCAACACAAAGGCCGCCTAACTGTTGCAAGACCAAGACCAGGACTGGTAAAAAAAAATCGATTTTTAAAATAAAAATTAAGGCAAAATAGTAACTAATATTTGACAATCTTAGTTATTATATGTTAACAATTGGTATAACCAATATACTTTTGCATTTAACTCCTCTAATTTTTCATTCGGGCTGAGTTAGGTTTCTCCTCTCTAAAAAACTACAGTAATATCCCTCTAGGAATAAGCTAATAGGTAACTGCAAGACTGTTACGTGAGTCTTGCCCAAGACCAAGACTGAGTTTGCAAGACCAAGACTCGTCTCGGTCTCGCATTTGGGTAACACTATACAGTGCAGACTTCGGGGAAGGAGGGAAGGGAGCACTAGCGGATCTAGGATTTCATTTTGGGGGGGAGGATTCAGCCCGATAGATTTTTTTTTCATTTATATAAAACGATAATTAATTTGAAAAAAAAATAAAGAAATTAACTATCTATATAAAAATAGTGTTTACGTAACTCTTGAAGTCCTTTTAAATGTAATTACACGAACAATAATACTTTAAGAGATAGTTTTTAATATTTTTTTCTATAAAACATGTTCATATTTTACCATTTTGGGAGGGGGGGAGGTTTCAGCCCGAAGATCCGCCTGTGGAAGGGAGAATATCATTTCGCTTGAATGAATAAAAGTTCATCGATTCTAAAACTAAAATCGATCAAGAAAAGTCGATTATATGACTAGGCTAGCGTCTAATAATGGGTAGGTAAATGTTTTATTGCTACCTTAATGTTACTTTTATTTAAATTGTCATTTATATTTAAAGATAATAATATATACATATATATATAAAATATAGTATAAATTTTTTTGATTACATTTTTAACTGAGCTGAAGCTAAAAAATCATAAATAATATTAAAATAACTATTAAAACACGGAGGGTTTATATATATATATATATATATATATATATATATATATATATATATATATAAACATATCTTAGGATTTGATTATTCGATCACTCCTCAATTTTCAAGTGATATTCTTATCACACTTTCGTCGACAAACTAGTCCTACTATGAAAAACATATTTTTATTTCAGGTTATACACATTAAGAAATCAAAAATATTTCTCTCTTTTTTACATTATTCATTTTAGCTGAAAAAGTTCTAGAAATGTACCAATATTATGAAGGGTCAGTGTTAATTATTCAAGCTAATGTTATATCCCCTTCCCTCCGTGTTTAATCTAAACAGATATTTTTTATTTTTTAAAGATATATTTAAGTATATATGAGCTTTTTAGTTGACAGTATAAGTAACTCCAATTTCAAGATTTTTGTTTAAAGTTATTTTAGTTTAGATATTTCAAGTTGGAAAATGTATAATATCTGTACAGATAGTGAGTAAGTTGATTCCAGAGTAGGTAATTGCAGTGTTGAAATATACAACTGTGAATAAAGGTATAGATTTTCCGATTAGAAATAGCGGATCCAGGATTTAATTTCGATGGATAGGCTGTTTTTTACTTTCACATACGTATATATGTAATATACAGTAAGGGTAAGTATTGAGATCGAGAAAATTTTTGAATCTGAGTTTTCTACGGAAATACACGTTTTGAGGTACTCCGAGTCGAAACGACCAAGTCCCGAAAAATGGTCTGTGTGTATGTATTTTTGTATGTTAGCAGTCTAGCTCAAAAACGAAAAGTCCTACGAAACTGATATTACGTATTTAAGATAGGTATATGCCTTAGATGTGACGGCAACTTTGTCCTTAAAATCGGGTAACCGGAAGTGTCACTTTATATAAACGCTGAAACACATTTTCTCTAAAACGGCTCTAACGATTTTGATTAAACTCGGTGTATCATTGTATAATTAAGTGGTATTTAATATCAATTAGGTCTTATCCCCATTGATGTCACTTTACAGGGCCTAAATGCACAATGATTATATATGTCTTCCTCTAAAGTACCTTTAATATGGTTTATTTTAAAAACTTAATCATTTCACATTATTCAATGTTATTAGATTTATGGAGTGACTAGATTTTTATTGCCTGTCGTCGATATATAAAATAAACATTTTGTAATTATAATGGTCTTAATGACTTATTTGTAAGCTTTAATAATTTGATAAATTTTCTCTTTGTGATATTCTAAAAGAATTCATTTACAATTAGTGTGACAACTTTTATTCTGACTATGACAGACAATGAAAATCTCTTAATTCTGTTTTAGTAAACTTTATAATGGAAAATAACTGTTTATAACTAATAATCGTACAATCCATAATCAACCGGTGATATAATAAGTAGGACTTTGGTTATTTTAATAGTATTTATGATTTGTTAGCTGTAATTTTTTAGCTTCAGCTCAGTTAAAAATGTAATTAATAAATTTTATACTAGCCCAACATGGCCAGAAAATAATTTCTATTCAAAGTTGAGCGGTAAGTGAAAATTGTGTATTGCGCGCACTAGATTTTATTATTTATTACCGACAGCTGATGGAAAACACTAAAAATACCAGTACATGGGGAAAAAATTTAAATATTTGAGTTTCACACAGTTTGAGAAATGCCTATAAGCACCATTAAACTTGAACTTTCCCACAATGTGGTCGATCTAACAGAACCTCTTTGAATTTTGTCAAATCAGACTAATGGACCAATGTTTTGTACCATGTTGTTATTCTTAGCACTAGCGGATCCAGGATTTAATTTTTTTGGGAGGGGGGGCTTCAGCCCGAAAGATTTTTTTTTCAAGTACATATAATGATAATTAATTTGAAAAAAAAAGAAGAAATTAACTACCTATATGAAATGGTGTTTAAGTGGTTCTTTAAGTCCTATTAAATGTTATTACACGAACAAGAATAATTTAAGAGATAGTTTATTTTTTTAGTTTAGTTTATTTAAGATATAGTTTATTTTATTTTATATTATTTTCTGTAAAACATGGTTATATTTTACCATTTTGGGAGTAACTTCAGCCCAAAAGCCCCCCCCTCCTCCCCCCGTAGATCCGCCTGTGATTCTTAGAGGACTTTATTCCTAGAATAAAATTATTTTTTCATTTCATTTCTTTGTACACATATACAAAGAAAGACAAACATGTTTTCTTTTCTGTTTTTTTTTTTATAAGGCGTTAAGATTTTAAACAAAATCTTATTTTGATACAAATGTTGTAATTGGCAATCACGGGCGGATCTACGGGGAGGGCTTTCGAGCTGAAGCCCCCCCCCCAAAAATGGAAAAATATAACCATGTTTTATGGAGAAAAAAAAATTTAAAAATACCTCTTAAAGTATTATTGTTCGTGTAATTACATTTAAAAGTACTTAAGGAATAAGTTAAACACCATTTCATATAGGTAGTTAGTTTCTTTCTGTTTTTCCAAAGTAATTATCGTTATATTTATGAAAAAAACAGGTTTCGGGCTGAAGCCCCCCCCCCAAAATTAAATCCTGGATCCGCTAGTGTTGGCAATAAGTAATGTATTTAATGATACTGTTGTTTTCAATTTTGGACTATTTTATACATTCAAAAACTATCTCTCTGCAACGGTGGCCTATACAAAAAACTGTTCCTCGTTTTAGTCAGTAACTTTCTAATTACACCAGAATGCGCCATGAATTTTGATTCTTTGTGTCTATCAACATGATAAGTTGCTTTTAGACATTTCATAAACTATAGAAAACATAAATATTTAATATTATGCTAGTGTTTTTGATGTTTTCCATCTCCAGTCGGTTACAAGGAATTAAAAAAAAAAGTTGCTGTCACATCCAAGGTATATACGTATCTTAAATATGTAATATCAGTTTCGTACGACTTTTCGTTTTTGAGCTAGACTGCTACACACAGACCATTTTTCGGGACTTTGTTATTTGGACTCAGGGTACCCCAAAACGTGTATTTCCTTTGAAAACTAAGATTCAAAAATTGTCTCCATAGCAATACTTACCTTTACTATATATTACATACATACGTAAGTGAAAGTAAAAATGTTGGGCTTAGCACTGATGTCGTTAATATTTAAGTTAGATAATTGTGTTTGCCATAGTTTGTGAAATGTCTAAATGCACCTTTAAATCAGCAAATATATGAAACTTCATAGCCTGTTTAAAAAGCAGCAATAATAGTTGTATTTTAGGTAGAAAACTCTTATTTATGGACACAGGCGGATCTACGGGGAGGGGGACTTTCGGGTTGAAGCCCCTCTCCCCTCAAAATGATAAAATATAACCAGGTTTTATAAAGAAATATTTTTCATCTAATTACATTTAATAGGACTTCAAGAATCACTTAAACACTATCTCATATAGTTTCGTACTTTCTTCCGAAGTAATTATCCTAATATATACATACAAAAAAAAAAAAAAACCTTTCGTGCTGAAACCCTCCAAAATTAAACCCTGGATCCGTAGTGTTTATGGAACAAGAATGAATTGAGGCGTTGAGAGCAGTAAATGATTTGTAATATCTAAGATCCACTGGCGGATCTAAGGGAAGGCTTTCGGGCTAAAGCACTCCCCAAAATAGTAAAATGTAATCATGTTTTATGAAAGAAATCACTAGCGGATCCAGGATTCAATTTTGGGGGGGGGGGCTTCAGCCCGAAAGCTTTTTCTTTCATAAAAATGGCGATAATTACCTTGGAAAAAAAGAAAGAAACTAGTTATCTATATGAAATGGTGTTTAAGTGATTCCTTAAGTCCTTTTGAATGTAATTACACCAATAATAATACTTTAAGAGATAATTTTTTAATATAATTTCCCATAAACATAGTTATATTTTATCATTTTGGGGGGAGGAGCTTCAGCCCGAAAGTCCCCCTCCCCGTAGATCCGCCCGTGAAAGAAATTATCGATAAATTATTATTGTCAGTCTACATTAAAATAGGACTTCAAGAATCATTTAAACAGCATTTCATACAGGTAGTTAATTTCTTTCTTTCTTTTTTTCAAATTAATTATCGTTATACATTTGAAAAAAAAATCTTTCGGGCTGAAGCCCTCCCCCAAAAAAAATTAAATCCTGGATCCGCTAGTGCTTACCTATACCTATATATGTAATATATAGTAAGTGTAAGTATTGCAATCGTGAAAATTTTAGAGTTAGAACATTTTTTTTTTTTAGTTTGGACAAGTATTTAAAATCCAAGGATTCAAAAAAAATCTTTCGGGCTGAAGCCCCCCTCCCCAAAATTATATCCTTGATCCGCTAGTACTAAGATCTGATTCAGATGTTAATCATTAAAAATATAGTGCGTGTTTTTTTTAAACTTAGTCTACTCTGCTCTTAAAAAACTTTGTCAGTCTCGCAAAAAAACATAATAATGAGTAAAAGAGATAATTCGGTAGCTAAATTCATCGTAACCATTACGTTGTAATAAAAAAAAAATATATATATATATATAGAAATGAATAGGTACACGATGGACTTAAAATAGCTCGATTATTTTGACAAAATTAAAAATTCGTGTAAAGGGGCTTAAAATAAATAAACTGGAAACTAAATATTATGCACCGAAGTAGAAGAGAGAAATATTGAGTATATATAAATCATGTTATGTAATACATTTTGAGAGTTATTACGATTCTTATTATATTCATATTTATATTAATACAATAACATTTAATACATAATATTAATAATATCTCAACGTATTATGTTGATGTATATTTTAATTGTCATTAGACTGCAAACAAATAATTAATAGGCTCTATAGTATTTAAGAAAACATCAGCTTCATAGTTCGACTGCTCAAGAAATGATTACGTTTGGATACAGGTGTAAAAGTTATGAATTAAGAAAACAGGGTCTAGCATATGTACGTATGTTGTGATCGTCCAGTTCACAACAAACAAGGGATTACCAACATTTTATTTACTAACGGATCGTTGGTCAAGTCGTTCCCAAGATTACTCGAGCAAGTAAGTTATAAATTAATGTAAATGGATTTGAAATGTTATTAATTATCTCGTAATGGTTATATTACATATTGTTTTTTTAAGCTATTGATAATTCATAAACTATTTAATTTAACAGAAAGTTTCAAGTTAAAAATTATTTCAAAACATCAAACGTAACTACTAAGAGATTCGTTTAATTCTAAAACCCTTTATTGAAATTTAAACATCATAAAATGGAGGCTTAATTGCTTTGTTATTAATCTGATTAATATAAATTATCTATAGAATATTTTAAAAATTAAGATTACCTCACTTACCTGAACTATCTTCAATTTAATTGTTTATTTGTTAATATTTTCGCAAATAAATGAAACAGAAAAAAATGAACGTACTTTTTTGCTACTTTTCAATTGCATATTCAGCACAAAACGCGTTCCTGAAAGACTAACTACTAGCTTCCGTGAGCATTAGAGGGATCGATGGAACAAATTCTAACCAGAATTTTATTACACGAATTAAAACTTTTTAAATATTAACTAAAATAAATTATATTTCCATTGCGTTGCTAGTTGTTTGTTATTATAATTTATTTTCGTCAGGTGAACATAAAATAAACGAATCGATTTTCGATATGATTTTGCATACATCGATAGCAATTTGTCAACTTGTCCAAGTAGTTGCTGTTGAAACAACAGTACCGCTAACAGTACAATAACCTATGGAAGGTTATTCGATATATTTGAGCTCGAGTTTGTAAACATGTTTTCGTTACTAGTGTCATTAAGATCCCTTCGGATGTTAACTATAGTACAATTTAGGTTTAATTTAAAATGATGTATGGGTAGCTTCAAAAGAGAACGTCACAAAAACCTATTCCCTCATGAAGCAACTTTTGTTTCATGTGAGGAATTGCTATTTATGATGGAATTGTATGAGCCTGACCCTCTCACGGATAAACTCTTGGCATATTTTCGAAGACGTAGATACATTGTAAGTGAAATATTCCTTAAGGATTCAGTTGTATTCGACAATTTCCCTCATGTTTACCTATTTCTTGCCTTCTAGGATGGTGATGTAATTTTGAAACCTGATTTGAACATCACACCTGAAGAGAACATACTCATTTCTAACATTGAAAAAGATACATCTAGGCCCAATGTTGCTACATATAGTACTGCTGTGACAGATATTGGACTTGCTGAACAACAGTTTACTTTGTGAGTATCCTATTAATTTATGTAATAATCAGTTTCTGTTTACATTTTATTGATATATTTTCAATGGACTTCCAGGCTTAAAAATTGGATTGCCGAATTATCTGAAGAACAGTGTCAAAATGAATTATCACCAGTATTAATGCCTCTCCTGTTTCATTTGTATTTGGACAGCTTGAGGTCGACCCCTAGACCCAGCTCTCTGAAATTTCTCAAAAGGCTATCTTCTTCCCTTATATCTGAAGAGTGGTCTCAGCTTTATGAGCAATTAGTTTCTCTTCATTCTTCTTTAGATATTTCAAATCAACCTCTTGTGAAATTGTTCAGGTAGGTTGTTTGGTTTTTATTTACTCATTGAAACATATATTTTTTTTGCAATGGAGTGATTAAACTGTTGATTTTGTCATCTGCAGGGAGTCCAAGTACGAAGTTAGTGTATCATCTCGCTCAATAGCTTTGTTAAGAAAATTTTTGTCCTCGAAAACTCTGCATATACTAATCCCTGTAAGCCTCATCATCATATTTTATCTGTTACTGGTACTTTATGTGATTGACTGACTGACTATTCTGTTTATTTTTAGAGTTTCCAAACTTGGTTTGAGTTTGCAGTTTCAACTGAAGATATATTAAGTAGTGAAGAAGAGATGCCAACCTCAGGATTGTCTGGTAACTGTGATGTGAGTATAGGTTAATTCTTATTTGATTGAGATAGTGATTTTAACATTTCAAAAAACTATATAATGTATTTTAATGACTGATGTTAACATGTGGTTCATTAATTCCTAGGAAGAGGAAATAGATGAACATGATGACGAAGAATATACGACTGTTACTGATAAGGATATGGTAGATTTAATGAACGAAATAAATAATAAAAGGTTGCAGCCCACTCCTCCCCCGCCTCTTCTTCTATATACAGCTCATAAAACAGAAGGGTAAATAATTTTATTTATGTTTTATTGGAAATTTATTGTTTGTTAATTAAAGTAGTATATGAGATCCCATACTAATTGTGTATATATTTTAAGGATTGTATGTGGAAGAGTTTCTGGTGAGTGTAAACTTGCAGCAACGGGAGATCAGAAGTCTGAAGTAAGAGTTTGGGGTCTTGGAGATACTAAACTGACTCCCCAACTCCATCCTAGTTATTTTAGTAGTGTTCCTCTTGCTGCTTTTACTGAACCTATCAATGACTCGAAATTACAGTAAGTATCTTTGTGACACATCAAAGAATATAAAATATACGCTTTCTGTTCCTAATTAACTCACATGGAAGACTTATGAACATCAAATTTCTTCCCTTCAGATTTTTTTTTCTCTCTTACAGAAACGAAAAACAGATGTGGTCATTGAGAGGTCATAGTGATACCGTGTATGATGTTGCATTCCTCTCGGACTCGGAATATCTCATTTCGGTATCTTTTGATAGTACAATGCGGTTATGGAAATTGTCTGACTATTCGTGTGCTGCAGTATACAGGTAATGCCAAATCTAACCATTTTATAAATAAGTGAATATATTTTAAAGATGGATTCAGCATGTATTTTTGGTGTTCAGGGGACATTCCTCACCAGTGTGGGGCGTAGCAGTCAGTCCAATAGCAAATTATGTCGCTACAGCATCACATGACAAAACTGCTAGGCTTTGGTCGTTGGATCGCACATTTCCATTGAGGGTAATGGCAGGTCACCATCAAGATGTCACGGTAATATTTCTTTAGAAAAAAAGAATTTTCTGCTCATACCTATTAATTTATTCGTGTTTTGAAATTTTATTTTGTTTTAAATTAAAAACTTTAAACTTTATTTAATATTTATTTACTTCAGAAAATTATTTCTCTTGAATGTGGACATTTTGTTCAAGTGATTGTTTTATGGGTTTATTTTTTCTATTAATATTTGTAAGCAGTATTTATATTACACATTTATTAAAAAACTATTTAGCATTTTCATGCCGAATTGATACGTAATCCTAATTTTATGACTTGAATTATAATGTTTTCAGTAAAATATTATCTGTATACAGTGATTTAATTTTATCATTCCATCTTTATATGTTTTCAGTGTGTGGCATTTCACCCGAACGGTAGCTATTTAGCAACGGGATCGCCTGACAGAACCCTGCGGTTGTGGTCTGTTACAGATGGCAGCTTAGTGCGTGTTCTAGGTTGCCAACCTGGCCAAGGAGGTGTGGGGACTTTAGCTTTCAGTCCTAACGGCCAATATGTAGCGTCCGCAGGTAACCATTATTTAGATATTTAGATTAATTATACCTGGTTTGTCGTATATGGTTCCGTTTAATTTCAATGAATTATTTTGGAATGGACCACAATTTTTTTTAAAGTAAGAGTTGGGAATATACTGTTCAGTAAGCTACAGCTTAGCATTCTCTTGATGAGAATATTTGTTTACTGTATGCTTCAACTGAAAGCCCTTTTTCCGAAATAGTTTCAATAACCTATTTATTTAAACGAGTGGTACCATTTATGTACAATTTAGTTCAACTCTCAATTATCAGTAAAAAAAAATACTGGATTGAATAATTACCAAATGTTCCAAGTTAAAAATAAACTCGTACCATTAAGTTATATTTTAATTATTGGGTTTCTCTGGTAAAATAATGAAGAAGGCATCAGTAGAAACCCATTCCATTGAACTTTGCTTCGTAGAAATTTAACATGAACAAGTCCAGTGTGCCATTTTTTACCACTTTCGGTTACTATGTCAAACAGTACAAAAATAATTTTTCATTTCATTTAATATTTGCCTCCATTGAATTTTTTTTTTGTTTTTTTATTACATAACTTTATCATTTTAGAAAGTTTTATTATCTTTCAATTGAACATCTGGAATATTCAAAAAGCTGTATAGTTTTTTAGCTATTAAAATATTTAAAAAAGTTTCTGTGGGACCATACACGAGCTACTTTAAAAAAACAAAACAAATATATAAAATAGAATACTCCATATCTTTGCTAATATTGTTCTGATGTTGATATTTGTAGAGAATTTAATAATCTTTCAAGTGACCATATGGAATTTTTCATTTAATGTATAATCAAAATGAAAAGCTATTGGGCTCTAATGGGCCCTTTTAAGGTCAATATTTACTGATAAAAAGATAGTAATAAAATTATTGAAGTACAGTCTTCCTTTTTTTCCCTAGTAATTAATGATAAGTAATACTGACAGTACTTACTTAAGTTTTATTTTTCCATTGTGTCGTATATACCATGGAAACTACCCACTGCATGAAAAACAATGATATTAAAGTAGTTGAAATTTCGCTATGATTTAAATTTTATAAGTTTAGTTGTTTGCTGTATTACATTTATTAAAAAAAAAAAAAAAACAGCATATTTTTCTTTTTAATTTTTTACAATAAATTATGCCAATTATCACCAACATTTTATTGATACGCATTAATTTTGATGTTTCGACCATACTAAGGGTCATTTTCAAATCTTGATGAGTCCTCCGTTATATGTTCATCATTAATGTTTTAATTAATATGTTCAGTGAACATTAATTTGTCATGTTCTATTGGGGTTTCGCCTACGTCATTTCTGGAGGGACTAATTCAGTCCCTATTAGTAGTACCTAGTAACGGAGGACTCATGAAGATTTGAAAATGACCCTTGGTATGGTCGAAACGTCAAAATTAATGCGTACCAATAAAATGTTGGTGATAATTGGCCTAATTTATTGTAAAAAGTAAAAAACTTCAAGACACCAAAATTAGGAAAAAGGAATAGAAGCATATTTTTCTTTAAAAAAAGAAATAACTATTTTATTACTTTATTTTAAAAAATATCATGTAAACATGTGTTCCTATGAAGATCATCATCACTATATCCTAATTTAAAGTTAACTTAACTGGCTTCATTTTTAGTACTATTAAACCTCTTTAGGTCTCATAGTAATTACCCAGATATTTTTGGACAATTCATAAAAAAAAGGCCGGTCTTAAGAAATTTTTTTTATCTCAGTAACTATTAGGCACACACAATTTATTAGCTCTAGGTAATCCCACAATAATTATAGCATGGAATAAAAAAAAAAAAAAAAAAAAAAAACATATCACATTTTTTATTAAAAATAAAGCACCTCTGGCAAAACATTGGGGTGGTAAAACTCAAATTCCTGGTCAGCATCCTCAAAAACATGGAAGTCCAAAACATCGAAAATCTCTGGATCTGGAACAGGAAATGAGATATTATCCAGTAAAATCACCCAATGTACTAATAGGCCATTCCATCTTTCTCAGTGCTCTCGGCTTCCATTGTTGGAGAGTTATGGATCATATAGCATTAGCCATTTAGCCAGACGTTCATTTGAAGGATGGGAAGGCATGGTTTATGGAGAGAAATAAGTTCAGGCATTTACATTTCCTTTACTATGTTTACATAATTGGAATCCCTCATAGAACACCTGTTGTTTGCAGAAAATAAAACAAACCTCTTTTATTGTTATGCCTTCTACTTCGTTAAATTTATTGACATTTACAAATATTTGGAAAACTAAACAAGTCATAATAAATTAAACATATTTCTCAAAAATATAATAAATAAATTACTTTATTTTATAAAATATTAGGCCAAATGTACACAGTTTTTACATCTTGTATTATTTATTCAACATTTCGGCTTCAGGAGCCATTTTCAAGATCCTGCAAACATGCACCGCTTCATAAAATATATCATTATAATATAATTTGTTGGTTTATCATTCTTTTATTTCGTTGAATGTCGTTTTTTTCACTTCTCTTTCCTAGACGATATTAAAAGTGTTCCTCCTCACTAACGCAATCATACAGGACTGTTAGTGACTGTAACGCGTTCATGATGATGACATTCGATGAAATAAAAATGACAAACCGACGAATTATATTATAATGATACATTTTAGAAAATTTTATGAAGCAGTGCATGTTTGCAGGATCTTGAAAATGGCTTCTGAAGCCGAAACATTGAATAAATAATACAAGATGGAAAAACTGTGTACATTTGGTGATCTTTGGCCTATTATTTTATAAAAAAATGGCACCAAATGTAAAAGATATGACTAGAAAATTACATATTTGAATCTGGTGATCAAAAATTAAGTTTACAATATTAATTTGAAAAAAAGTTATGTTTACCGCTCTTTAATTATTAAATACAATAAATAAGAATTATTAATTGAGTGGTCTCATATCAAAGAGGGACATCATTAAAAATTTTTGTTACATAGCTTTAATTTAAACCAATTATAATGATTTTGTTTTATGATTCAACTTTAGCATTCTTAAATAAAATCATCAGAAACTGTTTGAATTGAAACTATAAAACTAAGATTGACTTTTATCAACTTTCTGAAAATGACAGATACCCGTCTTTGATATGAGGCCATTCAATTGTATTCAAACAAGTCACTAGCTCCTAAAACTACTGAGGAATGAAGTAATTTAAACCTCCTTATCTGGACTCTCTTCTGCCATTATCTTGAAGAATCATATACTAGATGACTATTCGTTACTATTAATAACTACCTTTTTTGTCAATAATACTTTCAGTATTTTGATTACTTCAATAATACTGTCCAAATTATTGAACTCTTAAAGGGAGAAACTTGTAAAATATATTTTTAGTTCAGCTGTTAAGTAATAAGATTCAATTATTCCTAAAGTTATACTATTCCTGTATTGTACTAGCTGAAGCATATATTGCACCGATGTAAAACAACAGGCTCCTTAGTTTCTTGTTTCCGAACTAGTAAAGAGTGGATAATATAAAAGCCAGACCTAGATGAACCTCATCACTGATGGTGATATTAACAACTAAGGAAACTAAACATGTTAATTAAAAAAACCTGTACCACTAATAACTCATGAAGGGTACAGGGGTGGGGTGTCCGAGCCGGCTGGTGTGTGTTCACAGCCCTGCGAGTTGCAATCTGATATCCGAAGTTGTTTTTTTTTTTTTTTTTTTTTTGTGTCCTCCCCTTCCTCGCCGCTAAGGCTATACGGGGTTTTCTCGGGCCAGGGGGTGTGGGCGGGGATTTAAAAGACTCCCTCGGCACTGGGACGCGAACTCGTGACTATTTTTATATCATTAGATTCATATGTCAGGTTGCCGGGCAACGGCAGTGCTGTGCACTCGCTTTAGCCCATTCGGCCACCCCGCCTACAAGATATCCGAAGTGGAAAAATAGTTACAAGTTGCGTCCCAGTGCCAGGAGGGTCTTATAACTCTGATATTAAAACCCTTTTCTTAATGCAGTTTAACCTCAAGATCCTTCAAGCTGAGATGAGGAATATAAACATGGAAATTAACATCTCGAAAACAAAATTTATGAGGATTGGGAGAAGAAGCAACCTAGGAGACCAGATCGTTCGGCTGGGTGGAATCCGCCTGGAGCAAGTAATGGATTTTAAATACCTGGGTGCTCACCTTAACGAGTTTGGATGGGTTAATGGAGACATAAAAGAGAGAATTAAGATGGCAGGAAAATGCTTCTACTCCCTCAAATCAGGCTTCTTGGACAAAAAGGAAGTCTCAAAGGCCACTAAGAAGATTGTGTTCAAGAATACCTTCGTCCCTATATTAACATATGCAAGCGAGTCTTGGACCCTCACTTCCAAGCACAAAAGCCAAATCCAAGCTATGGAAATGCGATATTTAAGGAAAATAGAGGGGGAGAAAACAAGAAGAGATCGTGTTAGGAATGTGACCATACTAGCTAATCTAGACCCTGAGGCCTGCTGAGGAAAATCCAAGAAAACCAACTTAGGTGGTTTGGACATGTCTCGCTAATGGCTGAAAACAGAGTTGCCAGGGCTACCTATGAGGTCAAAGTGGAGGGAAGGCGCCCACAGGGAAGACCAAGAAAAAGATGGGAAGAAGGAATTAAAGAAGCCTTTGACAGGAGAGGAATGGACTGGAGTAGGAGAAGACAGCTGGCACAGGATAGAGATTCTTGGATCTATAAGAAGGAACCTCACACTGCTCAGCGGTAACAGAGTATTGGATTAAGTAAGTATTAAAACCCTAACCCAGTAAAACTCTGTATAGCCTAAATTGCGAGGAAGGGGTGGACAAAAAAAAAAAAAAAAAAGTAAAAACTATGAATAGTTTTGGGTTCAGTACAATGTGAGGAAGTACTGTTACAAGGCCAACGGTTGTGCAGGGAGGCGACGGGCCATCACCTTCAACCGTTTTCCCTCTTAATTAACTATTTAATTAAGGGTACCTACTTTATAGAGGCTTGGTTAGCCCTAGGAGGGTCTCCAGGCCACAGAGTCGACCCACGGCTAATGAAAAATTACTAGTAATCAGCCAGACTAACTTGGGACCTTTAGGTCTGGAAGTCAGTGCTCACCCACTGAGCTACCACGCTCTCTTTATTTTTATTAAAAGGTTTCTTAATTATCCAATGTGCTCTGTGAATAGGAAACATACATTTTAATTTTTACAAACCTAGATGAAATCTAATTGTGTCCCATGGCATCTAAGAGGTAGTAGCTGGAATTAGGATTGCCTCTTATGTTATCTCGCAGTTGGGAAACTTAAGGGCTTTTAAATATGGTCAGTAGCAATGTTGGGATTGAGCGAGTCTTCTGTTTCCCGATTTCAGTACATAAGGTCATTCACATTACACACTCTTACATTATTTAGGAAGCTGCCCCAGATGAGACAGCAAGTCAGAATGGTTTAAGGAGGCAGCTCCTCTTAAACTAACTTATTATGATATGATAAAAGTAGATTAATTGGTAACAGGCCTTGACTACATCATATATACTTCAAACTTAGATTTTTTTTTAACATATTATCATTATACATGTTGAGGGCTTCATATGTATAAATTGGACAAAATAGCCATCTAGGAAATTCGTTTGAACCAGAAGGTGGCAACACTGGACTGAGCCGAATTGTGATGGCCGTGATCCAAACCAGGTTGTCTTACCGTCAGGTCAGTGTTGGATCCAAATCTAGGAATGTTCTGAGGGAGAGTGCACTTGTGAAACAGGTGAATCTCACCAAAGATATACAAATATATCTAATATTTTGGCAGAAAATGGTGGTTAAAATTCCCCAACTAGATATTGATGTCTATGAACCTAAAACATTTTTGCATAATTTCACAAATTCAATTAAAATAGTTTTTAAGAGATCTTAGTACTCTAGCAACTATTTACAGCTCCAATATTTATCTATTTACTAATAAATGAAGACATTTTAATTTTGGGTAAATGGTTGACTGTCGTGAATAATGAAGAGAAGAATAGTTGGGATGATCAGTCAAATAAGTGACATGACATGTTGGCAAATGTCAAAATAAATATTATCATTTATTTTTGCCTTCTTATTTCTGACTGATCACCCCAACCATTTTTCTCTTCATTATTCACGACAGTCAACCATTAATCCACAATTATAAATAAAAATTATTTGTTAAAATACATAGAATTCACTTTTCAATTAAGATATTAATAATAAAAGCGTTAGTTGTTGAGTGACTTATTTCAAGATAAAATTTTTCTCACGGGCTGGATCCGCTAGTGCATTAGGTTTGTGTGGCCAGGTCTTAAATGCCCTCCACATAAGCCGATACCACAGGGAAGATATTTTGTTGATGAGATGAGATTTTATTGTCTTATGTAATTATTTAATTAAATGTTTTATATATATATATATTTATGTACCTGATGCTTATTGAACCTAAACTAAACTGTTAAAAACAAATTGGATTACCAAACATATAATTAGGAAATGAATTTTATTACTTCTATTAAGTTAGTGACATTATTGTGATTTGGACTTTTTTTATATTTGTAAAGTTGGTAGCCTTAATTGGGGTGAGAAATAACCTTGGAGGCTGAGTGTGGATGCTGACTATATCTCAATTGTCTTTTCCTTGATTATTTTTGTCAATTGTATGTCATTAAAATTTGATTATGTTGATGTTTTATTCTCTCTTTTCTTTTTTTTTTTAAAGTCTCAGAATTACTGAATTATTACTTTTATAGGTGATGACCGTTATGTTTGGCTTTGGGACCTTGCTCGTGGTAGTTTAATACAGCAACTTTCGGGTCATACCAGCAGGGTCATCTCTGTCGACTGGAGCCATGATGGATCTACGGTTTCAGCTTCAGGCTTCGACGGAACTGTTCTCCTCTGGTCCCTTGATAGTCAGAATGCCTGGTAAGTGTCTTAACTGATACATCGTCGGTTTATTACAAAAAGTCATTAAGTAACAATTTATATAGTTAAATCATTGAGAACTTTCTCTCTATGAAATCAGAACGTAGTGCCCTTGTTACTATATTTGATATATAAAAGGATTTGTGTCATTTTGGTGCACTTACTGTGTTTATTTACTTCTAAATAAGGTTGTAAATACTCAACTGTTTCAGTCATATCAAAAATGTACTTAGTGACTTTTTATAATAAACCGACAATGTACCTAGTTCTGCCATAAATACTGTTACAAAAGTTGAACTTTGTTTACATCCTTGGGTATTAATTAGATAATCATTATCTCTATCAGGTTATTTTCTTTACATGTCAGGATAATAATCACAATTAGTTTTTATTTTTCTTTCGCTCAGTTAACATGAAGTGGGGTGATAAAGAAAACCGAATAGCTGTGATCGCCTTACACAAAGTTGGAAAATATAGGTCAGAGATTTTCAACACTTACCATTGGGTATCAGCCATGTGTTCGTGTACCGCATTATAAATAGATATAATGAGATTCTATCTGTGTGTGACAAACCTCGACCTGGACCTACGGCCGTTTCCGCACTGTGAGAACGGCAAATGCAGTGAGAGCAGTGACTGCTCAAATCAGAAGAAATCTCATTCGAAAACAATATATCATGTCTCGGGAAATGGGAATCTCTGTCAGATCAATGTCTCGCATAGTAAAAAGTGACCTTAGGATGGGTGCATTTCGAAGAATGACAGGAAAAAGGCTATCCACTTCTTTAAAAACAAATTAGAGTGGATAGATGCAAAGTGCTCCTTGGCCGTTACACCAATGGTCTTCATCAAAGATTTTGTTTAGCGATGAGAAAATGTTTACAATTGAAGAAAAATTTAATCACCAAAATGATCGTGTGTACACACACAGCTCTAAAGAAGCCCAGGAAGTCATTGGAAGAGTGGAAAGAGGTCATCACCCTCCCTCAGTGATAGTTTGGTGAGGAGTTTGCTTTGATACTATCACAAAGCTCAATTTTTGTAAAAAAAAAAAGGAGTTAAAACAGCTGCTAAAAAGTATCAAGACGATATTTTGGAACCTGGTGTCTAGCCTCTAAATGATTATCTGTTTGCTGAAAGTTGTTGGGTTTTCCAGCAGGATACCGCTGCAACTCACAAGGCCAGCTCAACTCAGCAATGGCTGCAAAAGAACATTCCAGAGTTCATTTCTGCCTCGGATTGGCGCTCAGAAAGCCCTAATCTCAACCCACTAGATTATCGGCTTTGGTCCCAACTGGAGAGGATGGCATGCCACAGAGCACATCCTAACTTGAAAAGCCTCAATCTCTGGTCCGAGCAGTTGTGCGCTCAAGAAGTGGTGCGTGATACTATTGTTGACTGGCCACGGAGATTAAATGCCTGTGTCAAGGCAAAAGGGGGACATTTTGAGTAATTTCTTTTTGGCTTTACTCTCTATAGATATACATTTTGTTTTCTAATACTGTTTTTGAACAAAATAATTTCTCTCTTGAAATCTGTATATATTTCCTTGTAACAATATTTATGGCAAGACTAGATATGATTAATTGATGAATTAATTTAACTTTTATTGCTAATTCAAAGATGATTCTTGATAACTTCAGGACTTATAAGGTTGATGAATTAGGACTAGGTATGATTAATCAATGAATCAAGTTAACCCTTATTGTTTATTCAATGATAATTTTAGGACTTATAAGATTGACGAATTAGTGAAATAATATATACTTTAATATAATTTTGTTCCTAAATAAAACTTGTTAGAATCAAGGGTTAAGGATAACATTAGAAATATTTTGAGATAATTTTTTTTCCTCACTATTACGTTATTATGAGATTTTTATTATAATTCATATACACTAAGAATATATATCATCTTCACTTTTTCCATTTCTTTTTAGCAGTTTTTGGTACCTAAATTTTTTTTTTTTTTTTTATTTGCTCCCACTCCTGACTGCTCAGGCATTAATGTAAACTTCCCAAGGTCCAATGGTAACAGATCATGAAGATGCCCGGATAAATTCCTGGATCAGTTTCTAATATTTAGCTTTCAGGAATCCGTAGTAATTCATGATACATATTAATTTTATAATTTAATTATTCTGTAATTATTGGTTTATTTATTGCAATATCCACATTCGATGAGGTTGAATGTGGAAACATATTTACTGTGATTTATCTTAAGAGTTTAACAATTTTATAAGTAAATGGTGATAATATAATTAGTTGTGATGCCATTTTTTTTTTTTTTTTTTTCTAGTGATGGTGAAATAGAACCTAAGAAGTATGTTACTCAATGTTCTACCCTTCTCTCTCTTCAGTATTCGACTAAAAATGCTCTTGTGGCTGTTGGTCTCTCGTGATTTAGCTCAATGTACAGTGATATTTATTTTACTATTTATTAAATGAATTTGTTAGCGATTGACTTAAATGAATGTTAATGTGTTATATAGTGATTGAGAGATTTTTTCTCACTTTTGAGATTTTGTAATATATGTTTTGTAAATATCTTTTATTTAAAAATGTCTATATTTATATGTATGTATATATATGTATACATATATGTATATGTGTATTCAATTGTATATTGTCAGTTTACGGATGAAACTGAATATCAGTCCTTTTTTTATAAACGTTTGGACCTCAAGATTATTTTAGAATTATGAAACTATGTAGTTAAATTTACCAGAAATGGTTGGCATGTTAAAGCATCTGTTATATTATTATCATAAATTATTGGAAGCGCAACAATTTGAAAAAGGAAAACAAAAATTAATTAATATAATGAATAAAATTTTATTCAGACCAAGAAATAAATATAAAGTAGTAACTTTGATGCTTGATATGTTTCTTATTCTCTTGAAACCATATCATCTTGAATTATTTTAAGAAAGACATTCATTTTGTTGTCCATTTTAGGAATGAATCTCACTAAAGAAATAATATGTATTTTATTCAAAATTTTTTACAGGCTGCCCAAAAGTTCATTTTAAAATTGAATAACTTTTTTAGTTTTTAACTGACATAAGACAGTCTTTATAAAAGGAATTTGAATAGGGATTCTTAAATTATTTTTTTAATTTGTTGAACAGAGTTATCTTTATCTTGATATCTTCATAATATTAGTTTCATTCTGTGGTACCTTTGTTGGTTGTTAATAACAGCATTTCAGAAGTAAAATATTAAATCAAAATGTTAATTTCTCAGGAGAGCCACATGAATATGTCCCTGACTTAAGTCGTAAATGTATCCAGAGGATTTTGTTTTTAAATTTGTTTTCTATCGTTATTTTAACCCTTTTGCTATAACATCAATTGTGACTTACAGTTACATAAATTGATAAAAATTGTGACTTAACATATGTTACCTCCAAGTTACTTCAATATTTTTCTTTATTTAAATTAGAAAGTAATTAGTTTATTTTTTCTAGATTGGTATTTTTAGTTGAAACATGTTATACTTAGAAATCTAAAGGGAAATCAATACTGGCCATTCTTCTCTAGCGATTTCTTATGTTGTAATGCACATTTTCAGTCCTAATTTGGTAAAAGTTCCTTAGAATTTTTGTTAAATTCTCCCCAAAATCCGTATTCTATCCTAAAATAATCTTAATATGAATATTCAAATATACATACTAATCACTAATATGTAAAATCAAAATAGGATTAATGCACCATCGAATATTTGGACAACTGTTTGATAATAACAGGTGATGGAAGTATGATATTGTGCTAAAATCTGGTTTCTGACAATGAGGTCTTTATCGGTGTTAAGTAAATGGAACTGTTTATATAATTCTGTATTTATACTATTTTGTATATTATTTGAAAAGAATTTTCTTTTTCCTCTTTTTTTATTTAGAGGTTTCTAGTGTGAATTAAAAATTTAAATCCAATTATAGGATTTAAAGGCTTTCATAAATGATAAAATTCTGATTACATCCTTGCCGTTTAATGTAACTAATTTCATTGTTGGTTCCAATATTTGATACAGATGGGGGTATATGGATCTTACTACAAATAATCATGAGACAATTCATAAAGACAAATTCAAAGGCAGCTAAGCTCTATTTCCTACATTTTGTTTATTGACTGCTCCATTGTTATCCATACCAGTTTTGTCATGCTATTTATGTTCTACTTAGTTAATAAAAAAAAAGTTTATTTTATTTTAAAAGTTATTCAATTTTTTAATGGCCTTGTAACTTTGTTGGCTGTCCTGTTTATTTTAAGTAATATTTCATAAATTTAAATAGTAGCAGATTGACTATTTAATAGGTATAATGTTATGTTACCAGGAAGAATTTTTTTTCATGCTATGAAGATATATGACACCTTAGTTTACCCTTTTTGCATGTTATCATCATACCATGATTGACGAGGGGGAACATTGTCATTGTTGTGTTGTTCTCCCGTTGGCCATATCAGCCTCAACCTTTGTACTATTGATCTCTATCATCGCTAAGTTTATTCTATTTTTTAAAAACTTTTTTAATTTTTCAATAAATGTTCAATTATTTGGTTACTTACAGTTATTAGTTATATGATTAAATTTCATGACCCTCATAAGTTCCCAATCGTTATCACTTGATGGTTATTCAATTTTAATGATATATTTTCAATTCAAATATGCATAAATATTGGGTTCAGGAATAGATAATTTCTATTTTTTTCAATACCAATTTATTTATATAAACTTCAAACACTAACCAATGAATGTGCCATTTTGATTGATGACCTTTTGCCATTTTTTTTTATAAAACCATAAGTTCTGAGATTTCTGAGCTAAAAACTGAACCAATTGATTTTCACAATCCTCTTTTGATATCAGCTTCACACCATTTAGAGAGTTCTGCAGAGACCAAAACAAATGGTAGTGGCAATGTCCGGGATATACAGAAGATGCATCAAAACTTCCCCGCCCAGCTCTCTTAATCTTTGCCTGTTCAATAAAGATGTGTGGTCTAACATTGTCGTTATGGAAGACAATGCATTTCTTATTGATCAATTCCAGCTGTTTTTCTTAAATCGCCTGGTTCAATCGCACTAGTTTTTGACAGTTGAGAGTTGAATTAATAGTTAGGCAAGGTTAGAGCAGCTCATCATGAACAGCCCCTTTCCAATCCTACCAAATACTCAGCATCACCTTCCTTACCATCAATCTGGACTTCGACCACAATCTTTTTTTACTTTCACTTACCTATGTATGTAATATATAGGAAGAGAAACTATTGCGATCGTAACATTTTTTCATCTGAGTTTTCAACGGTAATACACGCTTTGAGGCCTGCTGAATCCAAATAACCAAGTTCTGCAAAATGGTCTGTGTGTATGTGAACAGTCTAGCTCAAAAATGAAAAGTCATTCGAAACTGTTATTACATATTTAAAATAGGTATATGCTTTAGTTCTCACAGCAACTTTTTCTTAAAATCAACTTACCGGAATTGCCACTTTATATCAATAGTGAAACGCATTTTTACAATTTTTTCAAAAACAGCTCAAACGATTTTGATTAAACTCAGTGTATTATGGTACAATTAAGTAGTCTTTAATATCATTTAGGTCTTATCCCCATTGATGTCACTTTACAGGCCTTAAATGCCCAATGTTCAAATACATCTTTCTCTAAAGTACTTTTAATATGGTTTATTTAAAGAAATTAACTCTCTTTTGTTGACAGTAACAATAAAAAAATGGCTAAATATGAAGTTTGAAAGAATATGATAATTGGAAACTAGAGAAAAAAAGAAAAATGCTTATCCAGGTCGAAAGTGAATCAATAAATAATAATTTCAGAAAAAAAAACATTATTTAACGTAAATTACATGTTTCCAAGGAAATTAAATGAAATTTTCTTACTAAATGTAAATTTTTAAATAATTTTCTAAGTTTGAAAAAAAAAAACTAATAGTCCTACAATCGATAATCATTTATAGGTTAAATATACAGATATACTTTCAAACCTCTCTAGGAATATATAAGCCTTTCAGTTGATAGAATGACTAACTCCAATTCCAACATTTTTTATTATTAATTTTATTGGTGTTTCTAGTGGCAAAATTTATACCTTTATTCGCAGTTCAATATTTCCACACTGCAATCATCTACACTGGAATCAAATTACTCACTGTCTGTATAGATATAACTTTTCTAACTAGAAATATCACTAAAATGACATAACTCAAAAATGTTGAAATTGGAGTTATTCATTCTATGTTGTTTATAAAAGCTGAAGGAGTAACTAGATTTCTATTGCCAACCGCCGATATAATAAATAAACTTTTTGTAATTTTAATGATCTGTTATCTGTAAGCTTTAAGCTTTAGCTCAGTTTAAAATGCACTTCAAAAATTTTATAATAGCCCAACATTGCCAGAAAATAATTTCTATTCAAAGTAGAGCAGTAAGTGAAAGTTGAGTGTTGCGCGCGCCAGATTTTTGCATATTATTGTCGTTCCTTATCCACTTCATCTCCTGTAATCATTTGTTTCCAAAATTGCTCGTTTTCGCTTTGTTTAAGTAGCGATTCACAAATGGAAACTGTCGGTCTATTAAATTCTTTAATTAATTCATGTGAAACAGAAGTATTGAGCTTATTTTGGTATCCAGCCATTTATATTAATGGTTCAAAATTTTTTTCTGATCGATGTTTAGTTCCTTAGCAATGTCGCGAGATGGAATATGTCTGTCTACATCGATTTTTTGAGAATTTCATCTGTCAGTCTGCCAGGACAAGTTTAATCTTAACATCTAAATTTCCGGAATAAAAACGAGCAAACTAGTTCTGACATTGGCTTTCACTTAAGCACTCATCTTACAATTTTCAATGAGCCTGCACTCCATTTTTTACTTTTCAGAAGTAAAACAGCAAAATATGGTGAGAATGACCTGGAACCTCCATTTTTAAAACGCAATAACTATCTACTGGGTAAATGAATGACATTATTTTTATATATAGAATGTTCTGTGGACTGTGACTTTTCAAACACACTATAGAATGGTTTCATTGAATTAAGATTACAAGAGATAAGAGTCTTCAAAGTCACCTATTGGAATAAAACAAAATTACTTTTTCCTCAACCCAATATATTTAAAAAGGTGCTGGCCAAAAGGGTTCATGCAGATCCTTTCTAATAATAAAATTCCTTGTATGGGATTTTTTTTCCTTATCATCTCTAATGAAATAAGAAATTCCTACTTCATAAATGTTTGTCTTTACTGAGTTTTAAATATTCAGGATGCAGTCATTATAAAGTTTTCATTAGTGCCGACGTTTCAACCCAAACATGCCCTGATGTTGACCCACATGTTCGAGTTGTAACGTCAGCACTTCATAAACTTTATTTAAAACCTTTATAATGACTGCGTCCTGAATATTTATCACCCATGATATGTAGAACAGTCGACTAACTTCCCCCAATAGTTTGTCTTTAATATATTTTTTACCAATTAAGCATAAAGTGCCCTACCAACCACGATGATTAGATAGTACTAGAAGCATTTTATTGACAATTGAATTTTTATGCTCTAGTAGAGAAAGGAACAAAGTTAGATAATTGCCATGGTTTCCAGCAACATAGTATATAAAAAAATTTCAGGCATAATTTGAAGATAACAACACTTTCAAACTGTAAAATTTTTGAATTTATTAAATTAAAGTGAAATCAAAATCATATAATATTCTTTTTGGCAGACTTCATACAAACGTACACTACTTATTTGAGAATGAATAGAAATAATAAGCTGTATAAAAAAAATGAGTGTTCTTTTACAAGAAATGAATATATTTTTTCTTTAATGTTACATAAAATTAATTTTCAAAGCATAACCCATTGTGGTGCACAGTCATTTTCCATTTTTCGGTAAGTTGCTTAATCCCATGCTTGTGCCACTCTTTTGGATGGCTATCAAAAAATAACTTTATGAAATGTATTAATTTTTACTTTCAATTACCTGATATCATGACTACATCATGAAAATTTTTTAATCTGAGTTTTCAATGGAAACCTTAGATGTGGCAGCAACTTTTTCGTTAAAATCGGCTAACCGGAAATCTCACTTTATATCAGAGGTGAAACACATTTTTACAATTTTCTCAAAAACGGCTGTGAAGTTTTTTTGATGCAACTCCGTGTATCATTGTATGATTAAGTGGTGATTAATATCATTTATGTCTTATCCCCATTGATGTCACTTTACAGGGCTTATATACCAAATGTTCATATACGTTTTCCTCTAAAATATCTTTAATATGGTTTATTTTAAAAAATGAACTTTCTTTTATCGACAGTAACTAAAAAAAATGGCTAAATATGAAGTTTGGAAGAATATGATAATTGGAAACTGATGAAAAATGCTTATCCAGGTTGAAAATGAATCTCCAGAAATAACAGTCAGAAGGTATATGTTTAATATATCGCTGGAAAGGTGAGAATTTCAGAAAAAATAATATCAAATAAATAAAGTTGTAGAATATAACGGAGAGTGACAAAAAATATATAAATAGTAATTTCAGAAAATTAAGATAATTTAACGTAAATCACATGTTTTCAAGGAAATTAATTGGAATTTTCTTACTATGTGTATACTTTTAAATGTTTTTCTAAGTTTGAAAAAAAGGTATTTAAAATCCACTGAATCAAGCCAATCTTATTGTTTAAAATACTATTTCATTGTACTTGTGTGAAAAAGGAAGTGAAATATAATATTTTATGGATATGTTGATAACCTTAAATACATTTACTGCAGTTTAATAACTCTAGATATAATATATTTAAATAATTAGGTATCTATTGGCCACTCATTCTAAAAAATCATTAAGTGACCTTATAGAAAATTAAATTAGTGAATAATTTGATGAATTTTCCCTTTGTGAAATCCCAACATTATCCACTTACAATTAGTGTGACAACTTTTGACCTATCCATGGCAGGCAATGAAAATCTTGTAATTTCATTTTAGTAAACTTTACAATGGAAAATAACAGTTTAATAATTAACAGTCCTACAATCCATAATCATTTATAGGTTAAATATTCAGATATACTTTCAAACATCTCTAGGCATATATGAGCCTTTCGGTTGACAGAATGACTAACCCCAATTTCAACATTCTTTATTATTAATTTTAGTGATGTTTCTAGTTGCTAAATGTATACCTTTATTCACAGTTCTATATTTCAACATTGCAATCACCTACTCTGGAATCAACTTACTCACTGTCTGTATAGATATAACTTTTTCAATTAGAAATATCAATAAAATGACATTACTCAAAAATGTTGAAGTTGGAGTTAGTCATTCTGTCAACAGAAAGGCTCATAGACTGAAGTTGTGGTGTGGTTTATAAAAGCAGATGGAGTAACTAGATTTTTATTGCTTACCGTTGATATAATAAATAAAGTTTTTGTAATTTTAATGATCTGTGATCTGTAAGTTTTAAGCTTTAGCTCTGTTTAAATTGCACTTCAAAAAAAGCTGAATAATACTGTGACAATTTGAGTACATTTTATCTAATTGTTCGGAATAAAGGTCA